TCCAAGTATCGGGGCAATCAAGGCACGTACCAAACAGCATTCCGTCTCAACGCTCACGTTCTCCGTCTCGGCTTGCAGTGGCGAACCATCATCGGCGATTCGCAGTCCGGCCCCCCCGAACCCGTTACGTGGGAGCAAGTTCTGGAACGACTTGAGGCACAAGAAGTGATTCCCACGGCTCCAACAGAGGAGCAAGTTGCTGCCTTGGAGCGGTGCTTCACCGAGGCCGTGATCAGGTACTTCGGGCGGCGTAACTGGCCCAACGCTACCAACGTTGTCGTCCAGCTGTTTGGGCGCTTCGGCGACCGGCTCTGGGTCCCAACCAGCATCAATACCGATGAAGTTCATGAAGTTATTGGTGGACAGTTGTCCAGGACGGAGGTGACGGGGTTATGGGAGGAGGCGACCCAACACATTGTAGCATTCGTCGATGCCAGAGGCACTAACTGTGCCAATAATCGTAATGAAGAAGAGCCGGAACAACAACAACAACAACAACAACAGCAACAGCATCAGCAGCAACCACAACAACAACAACAGCAACAACAAAGGCAGCAACGCACTGCCAGAGGTGGTCGTCAGCCACAGCATCAACACCTGCGCTACTCGACCAGTGGCGATCACGTCACCCCAGGCACCGAGAACATGGACGAGGATCCTTAAATACATTTTTGTCCAAGTCAACACAAACATTTTTTGTCTCAAATCACCACATATACACAAACATTTTTTGTCTCAAATCACTACATATACACAAAACCTTTTTGTCTATAATTTCACATACGTAAGTTTCCCCCACAATAAAAATACTGTTGAGAACAATTACATATTATTAAATTGTTGCGCATTCATTTTTAACAAAAGCGTGTATGTTTACAAAGTGTACCACTATCTTGCGGGGTTGTATGTCTAGCGTCGTACATAAGATTCGAGTATTTGAGGTTTCGTCTTCCCGCGAGTTGTGCTACCACGTGTTAGGGAGTTTGCGTATTTTTGATTATTTATAGTCTGAGCTTTGTGTGAACATAACTGTTTTACGTTTTTATCTACTTTTCGAATGCTGCCCGACTTACTGTGCTCTGATCTGTTTGTGTTGTTTGTCGGCATTAATCCTGTCCTCGATAGTAGTGCCAGTGGCCATTTTTACGAAGGACGCTCGAACCATTTTTGGCATTGTTTAAATGCTACTGGTGAGGGGCTTTCTGCTGTAGATTGTGATTTTTGTTATTCCTTTTGTTGACGGATCCGTTTCAGACTTAGTGTCCTACAGAGTTTCTCCCAAAGATGATTCTAAGCTACCGCGCGACTTTGTTTGGGTTTTACGAATATCTGTCGCAGACCGACAAGGACGGCAAAAGAGTTGCACGATAATGAAATTGTTGAAGGCTTAGAGGTGCTCAAGTTGAAAATCGAAAGATACCAGCCAGCTTTCGTGTGTTTTCTCGGCATCGACATGTACAAGAAATACATAAAGAAACGTACCATTACTCCCGGACTTCAGAAGGAAAAGTGTCGTTGGGGTGCCAGGGAACACGATGTGATAAGATTTTTTGTTATGCCGAGTACTAGTGCACGAGTTGTTGCTTTTCAGCGGGACGACAAAGTTAAGCTGTTCCAAGAACTGTCCAAGGAAGTAGAGTTATTCCGCGTGGCTACGTATCTGTTAACGAGCTAAGCTGACCAGTGACACTTGACCTTACGGTGAAACATTGAATTCATTCCTCTTTTATGGTGCAACCGATTTTAAATAGACAAAATTTTTAGATTTTTTTGGAATCTATCTAGTCAATGGGAACAAAAAAAATCAAAAAACCAATTCACAAGTCTAATAGAGTGACATATGTAGTTTAAAACTTGTGTTTTAGATTCTTTTTAAAAGTTGATCTCGAGGAGCAGATAGCATTTGAAGTTGGGGACTTTTGGGGACTTTAAGCAGGGAAGGCTGAAATTTTGTTATATTTTCAAAGACCGTTAAGCCGTTTGTGTCACCTAAAATATCAGCAATGTTACACAAGCTTCATGGTATTCTGATATACATAGCTAATTATATTCATGATTGTTCCTTGTTCTTCCTCTGCCTTCTTTTGTATCATTTATCATGCCTAAACGTAAAGGAAAAGCTACTGCTGCTATGAAAAAGGCGCGCTTAAATGGAAAATTTGCTCCTGAGGTTAGATTATATATGCTGTACTACACATCATCATTTGCTGATTAGATATATTCATTATATGTAGAGTGTCGTTACTATCGTAGCTACAGTACCTGATGTACCTGAACCTGAAAGTGTCCCAGCTATGGCTGCAGAAAATACCATCGAAGAGGTTAATCAGCTGGATGACGTGCAGTCATCCATTTTGACCTATGAAGAAGATGTCGACGATTGGATGCTGTGTGGCTTTTCAGAAGATGAACTGAAGGAAATTTTGTGGCGTAGTCTTCTCTCTTGGAAGCCCAACAGTGACAGCTATCTTAGAAGCTCGCATAGGAGAGGTGCATTGAGAGAAATACAAACCATGATAGTTTAAATGCTGATTTAAGCAAAATTTGTATGTAGGCACTTCGGTTATGTCAGTCTGGCGAAAGGAAAAAGATGATAAGGAAACCAAAAAAATCGCAAAAACGTGTCATTGGATGACGGACTTCTACTCTCTTACTGCTACTACAACACCTTCAGTTGCTGGCGATAGCTCCGACTCCACACCGGATCCAACAATCATTGCGGCGCCAACATTGTCAAAAAGTCAGCAAGAACTCGAGCTAATTGTCGAACATATGCCAGCTCTATCAAAAAAAATTAAGCGCGTCTCTAATTCCAAGTCGGAAATAGGTGGTTTGAAAGCCTATGAATCCCTTCGCTTATTAAGTATTTCCAAGTACTTTGAGTGCCGCCAAAATGGCATGAAGAAAGGTGAAGCATGCATGCAAGTAGCAACGACGCTTTGGCAAGGTGGCTCTATTTACCGCAGCTGTGCAATTGGCCATTGGACAAAGACGTATCTCGCTTTGAACGGTCACTTACCATCGCACCGTCAAGGAAAGCATGCCAAGCGCAAATCATTTTTGAGCGACGAGGATGTGAAAAAAGCATGTATTGCTTTCTGGAAGAAGACCAAGCCAGAGCTGCGCTCAGCTGCTTTGTTGAAAAGTGAGCTGCAAAATCGAATAATTCCAGAAACACTTGGAGTACAAGGATCTGTAGCTGAAGATACGATTTTGAACCATTTGCATGCATGGGGCTACAGATATAAGCGCTACACGAAAAATGTGAGTAGAAGGAATAGGCAGCAATGATGATGTATAATTACGTCAAATATTGACTAATCCTTATAACCCCATAATAAGATTTACTATGACGGACATGAAAGACCTGACGTTGTAGCATACCGCATTGAATGGGCAAAAAGAATGTTGGATTACTGAAAGCTGATGATTCAGTATACAGGTGATGATATGGAACTAGAGATCATGCCAGATCTAATAAACAGACGTCTCCGCCATGTCCTCGTCACTCACGATGAATCCACCTTCTATTCAAATGATGCCAAGGCTGATATTTGGGTTGAAGAAGGAGATACGGTGCTGCGAAAAAAGGGTTTAGGAGGCTCGATCATGGTCAGCGATTTTCTTTGCGAGTGCCATGGTCCAATGCGCCTTGATCCTGGATTTGCCGAACAGCACAATATTCCATTTGAAGCCCGAGAATATTTCAAGGCCGGTAAAAATAACGAAGGATATTGGAAGAATGAGCATATGCTCGAACAGTTAACAAAAAAGGCATTGCCGATTTTCGAGGCACTCCACCCTAGTTGCATTGGTATGTCATGCAGAAGGAAGTTATCTTCAAAATGACTTAAATGTATGCAATTGTTAGGTGTCTTCTGTTTTGACCAAAGCTCAAACCACAATGCCTATGCTGCAAACGCCTTGCGCCCAAGCCGGATGATCCTCAAGGACCAAAAGGTAGAAGACTTGAAGTACCCATTCAAAGCTCAAGGTTACACTTTGAATGAGAATGGATCAGCAAAGCTCTACGACTTTTACTACGAGGACAAGCAGTATACAAGACGCCGTAACGGAGCCCGCTATAAGCAAAGATACTTCAAAGGGATTCAAACGGTAAGATTAAACCATCACAATTTTTCATAAAGTGGGTAAGTACTCAGAACATATACTCTACAAAACATGATATTATAGATTTTGAAAGAAAGGGGCAAATGGCCTGAAGGTAGAGTACGTGCAAGTTGTGGCGCTGAATCAGCAACTAATGTTCAATGTTGTGCTCGCCATATTCTTGCAAACGAGCCTGATTTTAAAAATCAGAAATCCGCTCTAGAGGAAGCTGTGAAAAAAAGACATCACAAGTTTGAGCTCTATCCAAAATTCCATTGCGAGACCAACTTCATAGAACGCTATTGGGGCAGAGCAAAGCGTGAAGTACGTTTGCAGTACGACTATTCTTATAGATCGCTTGAGCGACGTCTTCCAGGAATTCTAAATTCTGTTTCTTTGCCAATGATCCGGCGCTTCGCTGCCAAATCATGGCTTTATATAGAGATTTATGCTGGAGGGAATGTTGATGGCCGCGAAGTAGATGAGCTTTACAAAAAAGCAAAAACTGTCTTCACCTCCCATCGTCGCCCTAGTCGCATGTAATAATTTCCTTTTATAGTAGCGGGATTTCAAATCAAAATTTTGTTATAAATTTTCATTTTTGTCTATTTAAAATCGGTTGCACCATAGACTATCAATAAAAAAAATCGACATAAAAAAAAGCCCTAGCCGCAGTGTTATGAAGACCGCGACTGGGGCATTAATGGGTTTCTGTGTTAGCTAAGCTTAGACCTGTCTGCTTTGGACTTGGTGAGAAATGTCTGCATGGTCCGGATAAACGGTTTGCCGTGATAAAGGGCGAAAAAAAAAGCCCCAGTCGCAGTCCAATGTGTCCGCCAAATTTCCTTTTTCTTTACTATCTACTTTTACTCTATTTTTTGTTCTGTACGATGCCTGAGCTTGACCTTCAAGACATAGCCGAGGAAATAAAAATTATACTCAACGATAATGGGGTATCTTTAAAAACGGACAATAAGAAGATCTATTTGCAGCGGGACGACGAAATCTTTGAATTACCACACGCAACTCCTCACAACACACCACTACCCGCAGCCGTAGGCGCCACAACACCAGACGAATCACACCAAGTCGACTTAAACCGTAAAGCACGAAAAAGACAAAAGACGACACCATCATCATCAACTAAAAAAGCATCAAGCGCAAAAACAGTGTCCAAAAAACAGAAACGGCTATTGCAACGGTTTAGTGAAGCACGGTCGCAGTTCTTACAAAAGGACATACCTACACGTGTTACGTCAATTGAAACGGAGCGCAACAAATATCACAATACAGTTCAACAAAGAACCGAAACAGCTTTAATTTCAGTTACAAACATGCAGGAAGTATCAGAACCAGGAATGTCGACAGATTATCAAAAAATTGCAGACGACGTCCTGGCAGAGCTTCGTGTCATTCAATACTGCATTCACATCGCGCAAGTGGCCGCCATCCATACCAACTTTGCAATGCTCAACCTGCACCAGCTCAACGTTGTGTTGGACAACGTCAGCAGCACACGGATTCGATATGCAGACGCATACGATTAAGTTATTAAATATTGGCTGGACGAAATTAAACAACAGCTGCCCGACCGCAAAGAAATAGCCAAGTACTTCCGCATGGGTGAAAGAATTTCACAGATAATAGACGTCACCCACAAGGACTTCATTTACAGCACGGCTATTGTAGACAGCAAGATCTTAGTACAAATGAACTCAGAAGTATTTGCAATCTATCTCGAATCCGTCAAAGAAATAGTGTCCTACTATTAGTTGTCTAGCTGTTAGTTGTTTATTGATTTTGTTATAGTTAATAAGCCTGTCCTAACTGGTATAGCCATTAATGGCCGATACAAGTTTAATCAGAATCATTACTATATTCATCTTCACTTCCATTTTCATGTATATATATCTGACTATATTCAATGATTAACATCTACATTTGCTCTTGACACATTTGCATACTATAATCCCTATTTGTTTCTTTTGCTTTTATTAAATCAATATAATAAACTGGTCCCTCCGCTTCGCTTCTGGACGATGTGAGCCCCTCCGCTTCGCTGCGTGTCAGCATCTGTCCTCCAGGGACCAGTTTACTGGGGCTCTGCCCCAGACCCCAGGTGGGGGGCAAAGCCCCCCTACCGCCCCCCAAGTGTTCTTCAAATGCTGAAAATATGTTCTCAAAGTATTCTGCTTAAAAGTGATGTCGAAAACAGTTGTGGAAATTGTTTTTATTGTTTAGTTAAAAAAAAAGGATGCCGTCACTGCTTTGAAAAATGCCCAAAGTTAATACGTCATACACAGTAAGAATATTTGTATCATTTTACCATGTCAACGCTAATTACCCGAGTTAATGCATTCCGTACTCTCAGATGATTCATGCCCAACACATCGGCAATCCTCGCAAATAATGAGGTGGTCGTGCAATTCGATGTACACCTCGCAACTGAACAGATCGTGTTCAGTTTCTTCGCAAAATTTACACGTTAGAATTTTCAAAGGTGGAATTCTCTTGCTCTTGAAATGGGTCTTGGACATTTTGTTGAGATGGAAAACTTTGGACATTATGAAAGATGCGATGGTTACACGCTCAATCAAGCTCGCTCTACTTACTAAAGCAAAAACCGAAACCCAATTCATTGTTACGGTCTGGAGATGCTTTTGCTAATATGATATTGATGATCATATTTACATCCCCCCCAACACCCCCTCTAAACCCGAACCCCAACCTAATTATATTGTATTTTAGAATCAAAAAACAGGGCGACAGATGATGCTTGACAGTGGAATAGAAAGAAATAGATGGATAATAATAATAATGGAAATAACAGAAAAAAAAGAAATCTATATTGTGATGATGGGTAGAGCAGCGTAAAGCTTTACTCGTCGGTGCTAGTGGGTTGTGTGTGTTGTGATGGTTGTGATGGTTGTGTTTGCGGTTGTGGAGGAGGATTTAGAAGCACCTCATGGTAGACAATGTTGATAGTGGAAGCTGTATCGAGGTCAGTAATGTTTTGAAGGTCGGTAATGTTTTGAAGGTCGATGGCAATGTGGATGTTATTTGGGTTGGTGGCACGGGAAAGTGCAACATACAGTTGACCATGCACAAACACAGGTTCTTGAAGGCGAATGCCAACATATTCTAATGTTTGGCCTTGCGCTTTGTGAATGGTCATTGCGAAGGCCGGGCGGACAGGGAATTGACAGCGCGAAAGGATGAAAGGATAATCACCCTCAGCAGTACACATATGGATGCGAGGGAGATAATGCACTTGCCCTACATGGCCTTGATCGATTCGCTTAACAGCAATCGAATGGTCGAGAAGACGGGTGACAAAAACGTTTGTGCCGTTGCACAGACCTGCATCAGGATTGATGTTGCGCAAAAGCACCAATGGCATACCCACTTTGAGCTGCAGAATGTGGGATGGAAGTCCACTGGCACTCAAACTGTTGAGGAATTCAACAGGATAGTTGGCTCGAGCATAGTCAGGGTCATCCGCATCGACAATTCGATTAGTAGAGTTATACTCTCTGCCTTCGCCAGGGAAAAGCGTGTACGCTGTTTCATTAATGTCGTCAACGTCAACGTTTTTAGCGGCTAAAATAGCGCGGCCATGGTAGTGCTCTGGTTGCGGATGAAAAGCTCGAATGGATGGATACACGACATCAATAAGTGACATAGTGTCACTTGCATCCATACGCCATTCTGCAGGAATCTGAACAGCTTCAGTATAAGGTGGCTGCCCATCACTAATTGCAAGGAGGGTATCAGCAAATGCAGCGGCATCAGGGCCAGCCTGACGCACGCGCATATTGACAGTGAGGTGCAAGACCTAGACATAATTCTCCCAAAAGGTAGCTGAACAGATGGTCTCGCTTACTATCTCTGAACGTGTACCCCTCTTGACAACAGGAAGCACTTGACGGAAATCGCCACCAAACACCACGACCTTGCCACCAAAAGGAATCTGTCCATATACTGGATCAATGGCGCCCATGATGTCACGCAATGACCGGTCGACAGCCTCAAAATTGTGCTTACTGCACATAACAGCCTCATCCCAAATAATGAGAGAGGCTTGTTGTACCAGATATGCATGTGGCCCACCAAGACGAAGGTTACATGTCGTATCAGCATCAGCGTTTATGGGAATCTTAAAACGACTGTGCGCGGTACGGCCACCAGGAAGCAGAATTACAGCAAAACCCGATGTAGCAATAGGCAGTGCTATTTCACCCCGCGATCGGACACAGCTCAACAGCGTTTTAAACAACTGCGATTTGCCAGTACCACCGGCTCCATTCACAAAGAAAACGCGAGAGAAGTAGTGTGGAGTGAAAACATCCATTGCATTAGTGATAGCATCATATGCAGCTCGCTGTTCGTCGTTGAGAGTAGGCAGCAGCGTTTGCAGGATGCGATTCTGCTCATTCACCTCATATTCACGACCTTCAAGGAGTGCCAGACCTTCAAGGCGTGGTAGCAGATCCAGCTCGGTCACAAAGGTCTGCGGCAACGACGGAAACTCGGAGAGATGATGACCGGTGACCTGCAACCAGGTCTCAATGTCACCAAGGGTGCGCTGGTAGATCTGTTTGAGTTGTTGCTCAGACAATTCGGCTTCATTGGGAATAGAGAGCGTCCTGCGCATCTCAAAGAAGTAGTCGTCTGCCATACGCTCGCGATAGGTGGTCCACAGCGATGCTGGGTCAGTAGGAGAGCAGTTCGTCAGAATATAGACAAAAAGCTGTCTAATTGCTGCAGCTGATGGGGCAACCTGGACAACCTCAGCCATACAGCGATCCCATTCCTCGTCGGACTCCAGAAGGCCACGGGCAACAGCAGCTTCCTGGAACGTCGCATATGTTGTTCCCTCATACTGCCTCAGAGAAACAAAACCAGTGGGAGCACAGACAGACAGCAGAAGGAGGCGAAGGCAATATAATTCCATGTTCGAGAGGGAAGCATGGAATATACGCGTAACAACATTTTGGATGGGAGGGTTGGTGCGAGGATTCCAACGGCGATTTCTGTTGTCCTAGGTGTAGTGGCATGGGATCTCTGAGTAAAGATACTCTTCTGTTGCACGATTTTCGCTGTAAAGGCGGAAAAAGGCAAGAAGCTTGGTGCCGGATTCTGCCGCGTCACGCGCTACACGAACTTCCTGTGGTGTCATATCGTCACGTAGATTGACAATCTATTCGCCCGGTAAGTGAAGGTCCAAACGTACGACTGTTGGATAGTGCATATGCACATCAAACTCGAACGTACGATGGATAGCCTCGCACGGACCAATGTATCGAGCGTTTTGGAATTGCTCTACTTCATTGACCGGCTCAGCAGCGGCATTATCGGTGGTGGTGGTGGCGGCGACGCGTGTTGTTTCTATTTGCGCTCGGTCGGTGCCCTTGGTGATGTATTTGCACAAATACTTGATGGCGCGGTTGGATGTGCAAATTTCAACGTTAATGTGTGCATCGTACTTGTGGCTAAGGTAGGGGTTGTACGGCACAACATGTCGGTTGTCGGCGAGAAAGTTGGAAGTAGGGAAGAGGTGGCAGTTTTGTTGATTTTCACGGCGTCGGTAGATGGGATATCCATCTCAGTTGACGCGTGTCTCGTTGTTAAATGGTTTTAGATAGCCTTGTGAGCACCGGTTATCCTTCATGCACACAGCATTGGTGCCTGGACCACATGGGCCGTGTATCATGCACGCTGTCACCGTGCGATACAACTGTGGTTGTGTGATGGAATTCAGAAACTCAGCAGATACAAATTGGTCGTAGTTGGTGGGGTTGCGTGGACGGTCTTCTTGCTCTAAAATGACCAGGATATGGACGTGCGGCAAACCACGCTTCTGGAACTCGACAGTTGCCAAGTATCCAGCGACTTGACCAAAGCATTTCGACTCCTTGATATCCTTGAGCAACTGGGTGAGTTTGAGGTGAAACACCCGAGTTGCAATATCCAGTCGGTCGTATGCTTGCTGGCTAGGAAGAAGCTCCGCAACGATTTCAGGCCATCTTGGATTGCAAGTAAACGTAACGAAAAGCGTTGGGTTACCCCGCTAGCGAACGATTGCTAACCCATCCTGTAGCATCTGCTTCATGTAGCGAGGGCCACCTGTAAACGACGCTGGCAAAATGACTGCACGACCAATTTGCCTGGGATCGACGTTATCACCAACACCACTATACAACTCAGCACGTATCGTTCGTTGGTGGGTGAGGATGAAGTTAAGGCGGGAAAATTCGATACGTGCGTAGTTGTCAACCACCATCTGCTGGAAGAGACGCCCATAGTAGTGCAGGAACGATTCGCGGTCGCCATTACGGATCATGAGCAGGTACGTGCAATGCTCACGCAGCGTCACTTGGATTGTGTCGTGCGACACCGATTCGCAAGTCAAACCTTGGAACCATCCATTGTCACCAAATGGAAACATCAGGACATAGTGGAGCGGCATATACGATGCGTACAAGGAGCTGATACGACGAAGACCTTCTGCACGATCGTGAATGACGAAGTCATGCTCCCGTGCAGTGCCATCCACAGTACGTTCTACCACCATTGCTGCTACTTCAGGGTAACCCTGTTGATCGTAGCGACGGCCCAAGTCGCTTTGACGAATTACAGCCTGAAGTGTTCCAAGTGGCTGATCACCGTGGGTTTCGACAGCAGAAACGAATGTGCGCGCCAAAGGATTGTGCATCTCCATTACACCTTGCAGCATTTCGATCGTCTCGCGGAGGAGCCTAGAATACAAAGTCGTACGTCTCGCCAATTGCTCCTGTGTATCTGCGAAATAGATCTGCGAATAGTTCGCTTACGCCTGGTTATCCGGTCTTAGCGCACCAACAGCATGATACAATGTGCCATTGATACGGTAAGTGGGTACGCCGCCTGCACCACTTGCTAAGACAGGATCGACGTTGCCACCAAGAATGGATGCAAATGCAAACATACTGTTATATGCCCTGATGTTGGTATAGAAGTTGACACTAACGGGATCATTACTGTTACGATTCGTTAGGAGGTCACGGAGAGGAACAGGAGGAGTGCGAGGAATTGGCAGCTGGATCTTTCCAGAAAGGCAGCAGAGACTAAAGCGAGGATTGCGTATAGATGATATCGTGAGCTTTTCATCCAACCACATTAGTGTACCACAATACGGACAAACAGTATCCATACGTGGCAACACATGACGATGGAAGGAGTCGCCGGCAGTATAGCATACGTTTGGCCCAAAAACGTCTTCTGGATCGAAGGGGACTACACGTGCAATGCGGTATTGAGCCCCATGCTCATGCTCGACATTGCTTAGGTTAAATGGACAGAGGTGGTGGGTGCAGCGTGTGTGCGTTGGTGCCTAGTAATTGGAGCAACGCGTAACTGGTGGGGTGGCAGTAACAGCAGCAGGCGTTGCTGGAGGAGGATTGGCGGCAGGTGTAGGTGGAGGAGACGGAGAGTTGGTAGCGACGACAGGAGGCGGCTGAGCGTTGACAGTGGTAGGTGGTGCTGGCAGAGGAGGAGCGGATGGTTGAGCATTGACGGCAGCAACGGTGGCAGCTGGTGGAGAAGGAGAAGTAGGAAGTACAGCAACTGTAGTTCTATCAGCAAAAATATTATTATACCAAACTGATCAATTCAGGTAAAATACCTTGGTTGCGAGGGTTAAGGGGGCAAAGCCCGTAGGAACGTCTTTGGTGGGTGGTTGAGCCACAGACGCAAGTTCTCAAAGTAGCAGGAGCGGTGGGGTCTTCAAAAACAATCTACATACCGATTTCTCAAAGTAAACAGACTGCAGTAATACAAATATAAATATATATAGACTCGCAAAACATATATTACCTATTCTACGACGAACATTGCAAGAATGAGCTGGGCATGGTCCATTGTCGACATTTGAACCACAGTTACAGTTTTGATGAGTAGTAGATTGCTTCAACACCCCAACAAAAAAAATTAGTTATCATAGTGATTTAAGCTTTTTGCAACAAATTTCAAGAAAATGCCTTAAATATTGTTGGCGGTTGATTAAGTCAAGTAACACACCTCTTGAGAACTCATTGTACTATTGAATACTTGAAAGCACAGTAATAATTGTTTTGAAAGACAACAATGGAATATGCACACGTTCCTGACAGTGAAAAAACACAAACAAAAAATATGTTGCTATTTCCAAATCTGGTTTTTACGCTGGGATTGAAAAGCTGTTTTACTGAGGAATTGCCTACAGGATGACCATATTTGGATTTTACGCTGGGATTGAAATCGTAAGGACCATGCTCTATTTAATAGAAGATATCTAAAGTATGAATTGAAAAACCTTTTATACTTATATTTTTTCTTGTCAAGTTTTAAAATAAGGTTATCAATAAAAGTACAATTATAAGTATCATTTAATTTATCCATACAGGGCTTACATGTAATCATACACATATATTCTCCCCTACCCGTTTCACATTCATCATTATCTGAATCACCCTATGAGGCGTCTGCACCAGAGGTGTCATCTAACATTGCATCAGAAATATGAGGATTGCTGAGAATTTGAATTTTCAGCATATGTTTCTTTTGTCTATGTATTTGAAATATGAGGAATTTCAAATTGCTGAGAATTTAAATTTTCGGCAACTATTTCTTTTGGAGGTAATGTATCGGGATTATCATAGTATTTCTCATATTTATGTAATTTTTCCTTTAGTTTTATATTTTCCTTTAATGTTTTCTCTTTACTTTTTTTAACAGAAATAATATCTCTTTCATTATTCGCTTTATTTAAATTATTTTTAGATGTCTCTTTTTGTTTTTTTGATGCTTTACGTTTTATTAATAATTTATTCTTTTTAATATTATAATTTATATCATATTTTTCATAAATTGTTTCTTCAGCAAATTCTTTAATGTTTATACTATTATTATTTAAAAATATACTTAATTTATTGGTATCAAGGACGATTTTGTCATTGTTGAATGTGATTGTGTTGTTCATGTTTAATATTATGAGGTGTTATTTCTATATAATAAAAAAATTCAATTTTTATTTTTTTAAAAATTTTTAAATATATGCATGTTAAGATATACATAATTTAATTTTATAAAAATTATTTTGGTTACACCAACTTATTATGGCTATTCGTCCAATAAATACCAATAAATCAGAGCATAATCATTATAACCTCAACCGGTCCCCCTACTGTATCGAGATCAGAACCTTCACTGGCTTCAACCATTTCTGTTTCTTACTGTTGCATGATAGGAGGCGTTGGTCGTACAGGTTGACTACTATTTCTTGTGTTAAACCTTATGTTTCTGGTTCTTGCTGTTGGGTGACAGGAGGTGTTGATCATACAAGCTGACTACCGTCTCTTCTGTTAAAACCTTGCGTAGTAGGAGACCAAATAATAAAATTGTCGCTCATGATAATAAAAGATAAACGAAGTTGATGTGATAAAATAAGAAAGGGATAGATTTCGGTGATAATTAGCATTTACTACTTCTTTATCCTGCCTATTTATATGGCCTGACATTCGGTAGGCATTTATAATATGGAAAGTATTCATTTTATGCTGTTTTGACAGTTAATCGTCTTTTTTTGTTCAATATCTCTTACTACTACTTGGAGATGTAGATGAAAATAGTAATAGCATGGTCCGAACGCCCGCAAAATTGCTCTCAAAATGTCCATATGGACTATCACAATTTTGGTAATACCTTACTTCTAAATCAGGACCCCATCCAGACGGCCGTTCGCCCTTTTTGAGAACACCCTAAAAAACACCTATATACTTTTTTCCCTCTTCTTCCATATTAGTCATTCCAGTCCTTTTTTCTCCTCTTCTTCCATATAAAGCAACATTGGGCTACTAAGCTTTCTTTGCTCATTTTTTTCGCTCTATTCATTGTCATCTTTACCTGCTTTCTAAACATGCTCCTTGACATGCTATTTCCATTTTACACTTTTTTTTACTAATGTTTTCATCTCTAAATGATCTTAATTCTCTTTAATAGCTCTTTCAAAATGCCTATCGACCGCCAGCTCTTCATCACTCTCCACAAAGTCACCGTCAACGCTAGGTTTACTTATAACTTAGATAGAACATGAACCATTAAAACTAATATCCTATTCACTATTCCCCAACGCCACTCTCAAGCCCACCTTGGAAGCCATTTTGGAGGCAATAGATCGTGGTAAGCACAAGTAACTGTGAACTACAGAATTATCACATACTTATATAGTCATATTAGTCCCAGTTGAAACTACCAAATAGACCTTTAGAGCTTACTTGGCAGATCTGGACGATCTGATGCAAATAGAGGCTGATTGTGAAGCTCTGGTCCAACAGCAACAACAACAAGAACAAGAAGACGTAGAAGAAGAAGACGTCAAAGAAGAAGTCGTCTACTTGACTCCTACTGAAGATGAAGCATAAGCATTTTTAATACTTAAAATGATCATTTCCTTACTAAAATTAAATAATATGTAGCTCTGACATCGAGGAACTCCAACCCTAGGAAGCAGCAATGCGTGAGGACCCCTTTTACCGCAATTTTTGGTCCACAAGTAACCAACTAGCTAAAGGTAACCCTTCTTTATCCCATTATTTCTCAGTCTATTAATATTCCTTCATCCAAGTATAGTCTACAAGAAGTTCCATACTTTGGCTACCCCTAAACATGGTGCTCCTCTCACTTCGGTCATCCTCGAGCTTAATACCACTACGGTTGCTACTGCATCAGCTTGTTGCATTCATAGAAACGAAGATATAGAAGGCATCAACTTTTTTAGTTATATCCGTAACTACAACGAGCAGCAACCAGAGCAAATTATCAACCACGCAATCAGTGGAACCCCCTTTGAAGCTTTGGACCAAAAATTAATCAAGTCCATCCGAGCTATCTTGTGTGCATACTTGCATTACAAGAAAGGTGGTAGCCTTAATCAACTTGGCTACAAGAGAAAGCTGAATGAATTGGCTAAAGGTACTTCCCAAATACAAACTTACACAAATTATTTCTAATTCCTCTTTTCCTAGTTGGATTGCCAAGATCTGCTAAGCCAAGCTATACAATAACTGTTGGTTATCATATGCTGGCTTTCTACAAGCAAGCTGGCGCCTAGCCAATCCTCTTTTCAGACAAGTTCAACTAGCCTTTCTTCCTCTCCGTACGTAACCTTTTTCTTTCTCACCCTGCTTTTTTACTAACATACTTTCTTTAGTTCTCCTCGGACAACTAGGCTTATTTGGAGGCAAATGACTTTTCTCCTTTGCGTCCTTTAATCACACCAATAATTCCTACAATGAACTACTTGACATCGTTCGAAAATGTTGGCTTCTTCCTTCATCATATTCAGTCATTGGGGACCGGCCATGGTTATGATGATTTTAATGCGATTCAGTAACCCTAGATGACTTATTAGCTAAGATATATCAGGATAGCCAAATTAATTTTTATTGAAATAATTCATGCACAAATGTCTTGGCATGCATACATTTAAATTTTTGAAAAAAACTAAAAGTTGACTTTTTTTAATGGGAATTAATTTATAACAATTAAATATAAGAGATAATTATTAATTATCCTTATATTATTGATTATAGTTAATTCTTAGGAATTAAAAGGGTTTATTATGATTAATTTAGAACAGGCTAGGAGGTACGACGACTCCTTAGTTCAATAAAAAATCAATGAAGTTAGATTTTTTTTTAGAACGCTTGATATGAAATTCTTAACTAAAATTAATTTACTGTTTACAGTAAAATTAATTGTTATGGATTGAATCTCAATATAAAAATAATACCACAGAATATAAAGCAAAATATATTTTTTATATTTTTTATTTTTATTACTTCACCAATCGACATGAACCAACTCAACCTTCTTGCATTCTTAGCTATTATGGCTGAATTTGTTCCTATTTTAGGAATTACATTGATACTCTTAATTAAAAGAGCAAAACACCTTACTGAAAACCATCAGTATATTGAGTATGAACCTCTTGTTACACAACTGATGTCAGAACTCAAAAAAGACCTTACACAGGCTAAAGTAGATAAAAAAACTAAAGATAATGCATATAATAAAATAATTGGAAGAATTCGAGAAAATGTGAGATTCCTCAAATCCTCAATTTTCTGATGCAATGTTAGAGGGTACTCTGGTACAGATTCCTCGTAGGGTGATAAGTTGGAATTGATGTAATTTTACTATTATCTATTAATAATATAAATACAATAAAAATTGAAAAAATATTATAATAAAAAATAGACATTGATAATATAAATATCGAATTTAAAAATAAATTAAATGATGAAGTTAATAAATTAATAGTTAATAATTGGAATTTTTGACAGGATCCTTAGCCTGAAATAAAAAATAGGAGAACATCTCATAGTATAGTGATTACAAAATTATTGCACAATTTTCTTTATTTATAATATTTTTACAAGTTCAGAGTTTTAAATTATGCATACTAAAATTTTTTATTTAGTACAAAATTGAATTTTTATTAATTTATAAAAATTACTTTTAAAATGGTTGCTCTCAATAACTATCTTCCTATCAGTCATATACAATTATCCACAAATCTATGTAATGAGATGGATACTTTTATACAGACTGAATTTGACTATTTTATTAAAAACAATATAATCACAAAAATACAAGAAAAAATCCATAAAAAAATAAAAGAATTGTTCTCATCAGACTATTTTCTATATCTTTCTATGTATAATAGCTGTTATACTCATACGTTTAAACGAGAAAAGAATAATGGGAAATTTTGTGGGAAAAAATCAACAGAAAAGGGTGATAAAAATAAATATGTTTGCAGAAAACATAATCCAGATCATATTCCTGAAAAGAGAAAGATAATTGAAGAAAAAGGTAAAAATATTATACAATAGATAAATATACAACAAGTAGATAATCGTATTATAAATAAGAAAAAAAAAGAAAAAAAAGAAAACCTATAAAGATAACTATAGGTAATCCTTTCTTCCTTTGTTTTAATAATGTTCTACCTCAAGTATTTAATATTATATGTGAAGATGATGCTCTAAAACATATTCATTTAACAACTCCTTTTCATTAAATTTAGGAATATCGTCTTTACTACTATTATTATCTCTATTATCATTTTTCACTGACTTCATCATCAATATTCATATTATCATCTATATCAAAATTCAAAATAATTATATTAACTTCATTATTTATCTTTTGATCTAAATAATTAAAAGTAATTTGTTACTATGAGAAATTTTTGTAGCTCTTAAAAAATTTGTAACTCTTAATTTTTATGAGATATTACTAGGATACATACACCATAGATTTAATCATTATACAAAAATAAAAGATATAAAAAGTAATGAAATTATGAAAAATATAAAAAATGAACTATTAGAAAATTAGGATATATTCCTATTTATTATTTTTTAACTAAATTATATACTAACCGAGAATATCTAGGTCCTTATCGTGAAGTAGAAAAAGGATTAATTTTATTATATCATATAGTATCTGGTAGAACAGGACCTGAAATGGTAAATATTATTCCTTACACATCTTTTTATGATTTATATAAGGATTTTTGGATAAATAATTATAATAATATTAATAAACAAGTAAAAAATGATTTAGAAAATATATTTTCAAATATAAAAACTAAAATTTTAGCAGCAAATACGTATAATCCAAATGGATCTGAAAATGTAACTTTATATATTGATGGTCATAATAGTAAAATAAAATACTATAATCCAAATGAAAGTAAAAGTGGATTGTATTCATATAAATTAAAGGGACCTAGTTTAAGAACTCAAATAATAGTAGATATTAATAAAAGTATTATATATATTTCAAATAGTGAAAAATGTGCAAAGGGTAATGATGGAACTATGTTCCTTAATATGAAACTATATAAAAATATAAATAATTTAGATTGTATTAGAATGGATGGTGGATATAATCTATTTGTTGAAATATTTATAGAAAATGCAAATGAATATGGCTATGATTTTAGTCATAATAATTTTGTTTATCTAATAAGAAAAGAGGTTAATAAAAATTTAACTGTTAATGAGTTTAATTATAATAGTAGAATTTGGCTCATTTAGATCTGAAATTGAAAGTCACTATTCTATATTAGCATCAAAATTTAATAGATTTAATAATAATAAAGCAGCATTATAAATGTCTGATAAAAAATATTATAATCTTCAATTCTGTGTTACATATTTATTAAAGAATATTTATAACTTTTGTGAAAATTATAATATAGAAGTTCAATCTCATCATATGTCATAGTATAGTAATAGATTTGAATTTCCAACAAAAATAAATAAAATTAATTTAGTATTTAGTAGTGAACAAAAAGTAAATAAACAATATAATGAGTTTAGAGAATTAAAATCTAAAATTTTAAATTTAAATATTAAAGATATTGAAAAAGATATAGAACAAAATATAGATAATAATGAATTTTTAATAAATGATGTACCTAAAAAAAAAAATATAACCAATAAAAGAATAATGATAATATATTTCAGGTTGAAAAAATAGTAGATCATATGGCTGATATTAATAATAAATTAATATTCTATGTAAAATGGCTTGGTTATAGTGATGATGAAAATCCCTGGGTAAAACAAGATGATTTTAATACAAAAGATATTGTTAATGATTATATGAAAGAAAAAAATCTTTAAATTTAAATAAAAAAATAGTATAGTCTACCCTATATATTTAAAGAGGATAAATCCTCTTTTTTTTTGTAAATATAATGAATTACATCTGTATGAGTTATTGCATTATTCGATTAATAAAATCAGTAAAACTATAAATCCCTCCATTGCATATATATATTTTTTTAATTTTGTTTGGTATTATTTCTTTTTTCTCTACTTTTTCTATTAGTGTTTTATTTTTTTTTCTCTTTTTTTTCGTATATGTAGCTTACTATGTTGACATCATAGAAAGTCAGGTTTATTATTACCAATGTTTGTCTTAATCTTTTTATGACACATGTGACCCTCTTTTTTTCCTCTTCTATATATAGGATTTTTCATCTCCTAGCAGACGTTTGAACTTTTATTTAGGCAGAAGGGATTTAATTTTAGGCAGAGTGGACTTGAATGTTAATCTAAGTGGACATGAACAAAAGTTAATCTGGACATGAATAATAATTGATCTAGACATGAATGAAAATCGAGCTGGACATCCAACAAATGATGCGGTAAAGAATTTCAACACTGAAAAACTTAGGCGATGCCCTAGTCAATTGCAATCATATCGTTCTCTTGATAAGAGAAATGGAATGGGACAGGTAGCCATGAATGCTTTGGAGAAAACGTATTTGCCAGCTGTAAGTGAAAGGCTTCATAATTCTTTTGAATCATTGTTTCATTAGCTATAGATAAACGTAAACACATGTGTTATTTTGAAATAGACAATGACCATTCTAATGAATGAATTCTTTATAGGTCCTTGATGTAAAGGTTGATGCACAGGTTATGCTTTTGGAAAACATAAGCGTTGAAAATGGATAGGTCAATGGTACATTATGCAAAATTCATTCCTTGTCAGATGACATGATTACTATACAGAAAATATCCAACCCTGAAGAAACGCTTCCTGTTTTTCGAATAACGCGTGATATCCCTTTTACTAGTTATGAACGAACGCAATTCCTATTGACATTGGCTTATGCTCTGACGATCTAAAAGGTTCAAAGTCTTACTCTTCCAAAAGTTGCCGTTTTCCTTGGAGAATTCTTTGTACACGGATTGTTGTACGTTGCTTTAACAAGAGTTTAATCTTTCAGTGACGTTTTGCTTGTTTTACCAGATGGAGATCCCCTCAATACTGTTAAACGTTGTAATCCTGTCAATTCCCTTTGTCGCAATTTTATTCGTACCCTCAGAGATCGTTATGCCCAATAATAATTGGAAAAATTTGCTTCATCACATCCTCTCTTATATGTACTGTTGACAAAGCAAAGCAGAAAAGAAGCTGTTAGCATCCCAGATTAATTTGGGTTATGCTCTTCACGTTTTCAGCCAGACTGAAAGGAGGCCCGAAGGTTTTACTTTATTACCATTAAATATTCTAAATGTAATCATTGCGCTCTTCATACATGTCCTCATCTTCTACAACGTTTTCATGCTGCTCCTCATCTATGCCATTTGACAATATCGTGTCGTTTTCATTATCAATTCGTCTTTGTTTGTCTTGCCGACTATTATTTTCATCTTCTTCTCTTAGCCGTCGTTTTATCATTGTTGCTCCACTAGCCATACGGAAATGTAGATCGGTTGTTGTTACCTCATGGTTTTCAAAACCGGGATCTGTAATGCTAGACGCACTGACAGTTGCAAATCGATTTGCTATTGCAATTGGAAGATCTGTTTCTTCTTGTGGCTCTTGTATCGATGTAATCGTTGCTTTTATTGTACTGATAGGATGCCAATCATTGACATCCGCAAACAGTATTCTTTCTGAAAGCTGTCCAGAAATGACAGCCTTGTATGTTTTGTCGCATCCAACGTTTTGCATTGCGTTCATATGCTGTAAAAGAGGACCAACGGTTCCTTGAAACTTTTTTGCGCGTCTACAAAAAAGAACAGTAAGCAGAATCAATATACTCATGATGCTTTTTCACAAACGGCTATTTGACAATAGCTAGCCAATGCTATTTACTTTATGCTTTCGAATCCCAAATGATGCTTTGTATTGAGACCGCATCATTCTTTTTCAATCCCGAACCCAAAGATATTAACGCATCTAATTACTCACTCTTGTTCAACCACAAATCCTCTTATCATTGTCAATCGATTTCCTTCAAACGTCAATCCATCATACTTGAAGAAAACGGTTTTTTCAGTGTGTGTCAAAGGCATTTTTGAAGATGAGATAACAGGCATAAGACATAAACATATTTATTGTATATATACTTTTTTGAAATGAAAAAGTATAGCCATAAACATGAAAAAGAACAAAAAAGAAATAGCATACAAGGAAAAAAAGAAAGAAAGGCACATATACAAAGAGATCAATATAATACAAACAAAGGAGGGTATATAATAATAGTGGAGCATATAGAAGAACAGAAAAAGAGGCAGGCATAGGCAGTTTTTATGATATGATAAGAAAAGGAATGGAGCAATATGAAGGTAAACAAAGGGATCAATGCAGCATGATGAAAGAATGAAAAGGGTGAGCAAATATAAGGAAGGAATAAGAAAGGAGAGGACAAGGAAAAGCAAAAAGAAAGGAGAGGATGGATGAACAAGAGCTTATAAAAAGCTCTGGTCAATGAACTCTGCCAGGGCTTCTAATGATGATAAGAAGCCCTCCACTTCTCCTAAGGATTCAGCTACTTGGGGGGGGCAGCAGACGGAAAATGCGCCTTGTCTTGAGATCTTGGACAAGGAGCATGAAAGATGGCGTCGGCATCTAATAAAAATGTTGCCAGCTTTCCCTATATGATCGTTCATAAGCAAAAGAAGAAGGCCTCTGAAACTTACATTGATCAGCTCAATGATGTTGACTTCGTTAGGAAGTAGGATCATTGGCCTTCCTACTTCCTTAACCAAGTGCAACAATCTATTGGCTCCTTTTAGCTTTTGGACCAAGTACTTCAGGTTGGCACTTTCCCCAGTAGGCCAGATGGCAGGATCTATAAAAAAATGAATAGTTAATAAACAGTTTTCTATGTAAATTAGTAAAAAGGTAACCAGAAATCAAATGCTGAAGAAAGTGCTTGTACGAGTTTACTTGGCGTTCTCGTACAAGCATTCTTCCAATAATGAAGACGTTGATGTAAAAGACATGTTCCATAAGCTTAACCTTTCGGTGGCCTAGGAACATGGTCTTAACGCCATCATTTTGGAAGAATGCCAACCCTTGTTCCAAAGAGATAGAAGGCAAAGGACACACCAGGGACGCAGGAGACAAACATTGCATATGGAATGACTTGATAGTCATTCCATTTGAATTAGAGATGTCAACCCCTTCAAACAGGCCGTTGACATAAGCTGCAGGATCAAACAGCTTCTATAACAATTGGATCATTGGTAAAAGTCAGGTTTTGAATAATGACCAACATATGGATTGTAAAAGATAAATAGGTACCTGTCTTTTGTCAGCTGTGCCTTCAGACCTGTCTGAAGGGGAAGAGCGGCGGCGAACTTGCCCAGAAGAGGGCCCAACAGAAGGAATGGCACCAGGACTAGTAGGGGTTAGCTCAGGTGAGCCAGGAGCCAAAGGTTCTTCTAGAAAGCTGGAAGGAGAAACTGGGATCTCCTCAGGAAACTACAAAAATATCTATATGTAAACTGTCATTTACTACAATGTTTTCTTATAAAGAAAAAGGCAATGAGAATGAAGAAAACAGAATTATACATACCACAAAACCCTCATCCAGTTGGATGGCATTATCAGCAACCATAACTGATGGCTGGCCATTTTGACCAATGACGTCCATCTCAAAACCAAGACGTAATAAATGGTCTTCACGGTCTTGAAAAAGATGGATGCCGCGTCTATTAATCTCGTCAGTGATGGCATCAATGAAAGTCTTGTTATCTAATAAAAAAATAAAAAGAAGTACAAGGATTCAGCCTGAGCTGCTTCAAAATTTCAAGTACATAAATAATAAAACCAAGCAAACAATACCAGACGATTGCAGAGACTGCACAAACGAGTTGTTGTTGTTGGAAGTAATCTTGAGAAGGCGAAGGGGTGTTCATTGTTAATGGCAAAGGAAAAAAAAGAAGTCAATCTGATAAAATGAAGAATAAAGGCTTACCTCAATGACTCCGTTTTATAAATGAGGCCTGACGTTAGAGTTCATCGTTTGTTCTAGAAAACACAAAAAACTGGACTGTTTTTTTTGAAAGAGGACAAAAAATTGTCCTCCTTATTTTCCACAGGACAAAAATTTAGAGTTGTTTTTTTCCCATGCACAAAACTTTAGAGTTATATTCTTAGCTTCCATAAAAAAATCAGCTTATCTGATAAGCGAATGGTGAACATCCGACTGAGGACAAAAAGTAGACCTTTGGTGTTTCCAGAAAATCAATGGTTGCTCCTGCTTTCTAAGGACAAAAATTTGTCCTCGTGTTGACTGGATTTCAAATATGATGGCTTGTTTGTTTAAGAGGAACAAAGGTTTGGCCTTGATATCCTCTAAATGGCAAATCCGGCAACAACGATATCAATAGTCCCTGAATAATAAATCTAAAATAAATAATTAGTCAATGGCCTTACGCTCAGGTTTTGTATATAAATATCCGTTGATCCCAACCCTGTAAAGTGTAGTCTTCAATACTATTATTACATTACCAGAAAACTCTAGTATGTATATCATCTAATTGTTGTATATGATTTTCTCCAAGGGTCCTTGCATTGAAGTATGGCAATCCTTCATTTTGGTTTTGTTTTATAGAGCAAATAGTTGTAACTTGCGTTGTCCAAGGCGTTGTCTCAAGGGATCTAGTGTTCAGAAATAGGCAAAGGATGGTTGATGATACTATGGTTGACCAGCCTTCTGCTGTAGTTTCAGTTCATGCTGATCGTGTCTATTTTCGAGTTAATGTTGGTCTGCCTAGGCTTCTGCGGTTCCTTATGGAAAATGACATATCTGAAGGTACCTCTATTATTGTCCAAGGCCGACTTCGAGTGGATAATTATACCAATTCAAGAGGTGTCCGAGCAACCAGTCTTGCTGTCATCGTGCAAAGAATGTGGTTAGACTCGAGGGTTTCTTTAACAGTAACTGGTTCTGGTATTGAAAGTTCGAACCAGGATGTCTCTGCTACTGAGGTCATGAACGGCCTTAGAGCTGCGAACCTACTTTAAGATATGCAGCAAATGACCCAATTGACTCCAAACCAGCAAATCCTGTTAGCAGCAATTGAACAAAGCCAACTCGTTGTTAATTCCGGAGCAATTGCCGCAGACCTTTTGTTAAGACTCCAACCATTTATTGATACTATTATCCGTAGGGATCCTGCTCTTCGGGCTGAACAGATTGTTTCCTTGTTGCCTGATGGTGTTACTCTTTCCCAAGCTCGAACTTTCCTGGATGAGATTACCCCACCAGCTCCTAGTGCTGATAGCTCCCGGGCTTCCTCTAGAACTCAATATAGAAGACCAATGGATGTAAACTCTGACTCTGATTAATTACCAAATAAAAAATTAGACCAAGTGTATCGTGATCATATTTACCTTGTCCAATACGACTCTAAGTACTTGAAGGATCTTGCTGTTTTATACCAAGTACCCTACATCCAACTTTTGCTTAGACCAGCAATCAAAGCTAGTATAAACAACGCTGCCCATCAATAAAGATTTTAGTGAAAAAGAAACCTTAGAGAACCTTTCAAGTCTCTCAATCAATGGCTATTGAATGTGCCCTCAGAAGAGGAGCAAATTCAATGACAAGGGCTTAATCTCATTACATCGCAGCTACAGTGGCTACTCTTGTAAGTACGATACCCCGTCAACTATAAGTCGTCTGCTTGTGATCAAACGTCTCAACGCTAATAATTGTCATAAGCACCGGCAAAGCCTACCTTTCCGTAGACAGAACCAAGCACATGTAGGTTTTCAAGACCATAAGGCCTTTATTTGTACCATTCTGGCACGTTGACTATAAATCATAAAACTGAAGGATTTTAATAAATAGATAATAATTTAATGCAATAACTTTCTTCTAGGTTATAAATTAGCAAGTAGTTTATAAAATTACATGATTTAACAATATATGGTCTAGTGTCCTAAGGGGACAATATATCTGGTGATTAGTGTAGTCTCTGAGATGTCAGTGTTAGTGGGATCCATGGGAAGTAACTAGAGAAGCTGTGAAGCCGATATGATCAGGCGTTTGTTGATTTTGTCATCCATGGTGCTTGCCAGGTTGAGGATTGATAAGCTCGTGCCAATTCGATCCGTTGTCTTTTCATACACGCTCTGAGCAATCTCGATGGTTTTGAGCAATACATCACCGGGAAATTTGCTTGTTGAGTTCCAAGAATCAAGATTGTGTTCATGGATTCGGGTATACAGCTTGTTTCCGAAAATTGGTACCATTGCTTTGTGGAGGCGGTTGTTGTTTTGAAGGAGGAGAATTGAATTCAATGAGAGGTTCAGGTGTATGTCAGATTCCAGTATCAAGTTATTGAAAGTGACAAAATCAAAGACATATTGCTGCATTTGATAAAATTTCCATGAGATGTCGACGTTGGGGACCGGCCATGGTTATGATGATTTTAATGCGATCTAGTAGCCCTAGATGACTTATTAGCTAAGATATATCAGAATAGCCAGATTAATTTTTATTAATATAATTCATGCATGAATGTCTTGGCATGCATACATTTAAGAGGGTTAATTAAGAATTGTAAATTCTTATTAACTCTCTATTACATGATTACCATCATATTAGGATTCCTTCGGAAAGACCAGCTAGTGCTTCAAAAAATCGAAGATTTTTCTTGCACTACCACCCCCCCAACATAAGAAAGGATGTAACTGATTCGGTTGAATTCAACCGAGATAATTAATGTTTTTAATTTCATTAAAATATTATATTATCAAACATATAAAAAACAATAATTCTTATTGATTTTTATTGTTTTCAGTTACTCTCCTAAATTTTTGAAAAAAATAAAAATTGAATTTTTTTTTAATATAAAAATAATACCACAGAATATAAAGCAAAATATATTTGTTATATTTTTTTTAGCACTCCAACAAAACTACCCCAACGAAAATACAACATGGACCAAATGAACCTCCTCACATTTATTGCTATTATGGCTGAATTTATTCCTATTTTAGGAATAACATTGACGCTCTTAATAGAAAGATCAAAGCATCTTACTGAACATCATCAAGATGTTAGTGAAAAAACAATTGCTGACCAATTAAGGGTCGAACTCGAAAACGACCTCAAAAAAGCTAATATAACAAAGGAAGTAAGGGACGAGGACTGTACTGCAACAATGGGACGGATTAGGGCTTTTGCAAAATTCCTCAAATCCTCAAATCCTCAATTTTCTGATGCAATGTTAGAGGATAACACCTCTGGTGCAGGTTCCTCGCAGGGCGGCAAAGAATTCTGATTCTAAGACACTAAAGGGCTGTTCATATATATTTGTAAGGACTTCTATTTAACAAAAGAACAAATCATGGAATGGTTTATAAAACATGAACGTATTGGCTATCGAGTTGAAAAGGCAAAGGCATGTGATGCAATTGCACCAGAAACTGGTGAGAAACATGTTCATATATAGATACAAATGAATGAGTGGTTCGACACAAAAACAGCACGTAAATTCTTTACTATCGATGGTGTTACTCCAAATATTAAACCAGGTGGTAATCCACAAAAGTCCATTAGCTACTGTATGAAAGGAAAAGATTATATTTGTTATAATATGGATCCAAATTATGAAGTTAAAACCAGAAAAATGCACCAACAGTTACTTAGATATCAATTAATTACGAAGCAGCTTAATATGTGGAAGGCTACCGAAATATATCCAGAATTGCTATTTAAATATGATACTATAAAATCAAATTTAAATTCTTACTTTCATGATGCCGATATGGAAAATAACCCTGGAAATAAATTACATATGTGGTCTATATTTGGGATTGCAACAATGTTTGGTGGTAAAAATAAGACACCACAATACTGGACTGTAGGTCCATCAAATGTAGGTAAGACATATAACATTGATGTATTAGAACAAGGTGGTCATCGAGCATATCTAATGAATAAAGAAAATGATTGGTCAGATTATAAGGATGATGATTATGATTTTATGTATAATGAAGAAACAGGTTCTGGTTTCAAATTAACATTTTTAAACCAAATTTTAGAAGGAACATGGTTAAAACTTAATGGCAAATTCACAAAGTCAATAACTAAAAAGAAAAACATGCCAATAATACTGAATAGTAACTATATGCTGCACATGTTATACAAAAACAAATCAGTATATGAGTTAGAGCCAACGCTCAATCGTTTATATATTATATATGTTGATAAGAACCGTAAAGGTCATATAATATGGAATCCATACACAATGAAGGTAAAGGATTATGAAAATAAATTCATGTATTATGAAAACATAGATATGTATGAGGACTTATACAAAGGTGAATTCGAAAACGAACACTAAGATCAGCATACATTTATCCGTTATGCACATAATAGTAGTCAGGATGATATTAAAAAATATACACCAATGGATAAAACAGTAGAGGAACTACAAGAATTAGCTGACAAAGAAGAATATATGAAGGAACAAGAAGAAGAACATAATAGTAATAATACACAGAACAATAAACAACATAATCCACCTCAACAAAATAATAGAGGATGGTCAACTATAAAGGTACCATTATCAGTAGATTGTAGGCATTGGGAAGATGTGTTTAATGATATAAAATGTGATGATGTTGTAAATGATACTACTGATTGGGAAAACCCACCAGAAGATATAGAGAAACATAAATACATAGATGTAAGTACATCTGAATCAGAGAAAAGCAGTGACTGCAACATACCAAATAATATACCAAAATGTAAAAAGAAAAAAAGACACATTAAAAATAAACGGAGAAACAAGCAAATAGTAGAAGAAATACAGCCAAAAGAATATTTTGAAAAGCATAAGGATATAAAACAGGCTATAATAGATGATATACTGTAGATATAACAAAAGAAACTGACGTCAAAAATAAATCAACAGATACTAATATAAGTACAAGTATAACTAATGAATGCATAAAACATAAATATAATTGGGCCAGTAAACGCAAAGTTGATGCGGTCAGTTTCAATATGAAATTTTTTAATAAGCAAATAAGTAAGAAATTAATTTAGAGCTGAATACCATGTATGGCCATATATTCATGTAGCATTTCCCGGGAATTAAACTTATCAACTGTTAACCAACTATTATCCTTTACACTATATCCAACCCACTTAACCTCAAATATGTACTTATTACTGTATCAGTATACACATGTCCTACAATCTTCTCAATTTCATATGAGTTACTATGTTCTATATTTCTCTGTTCTCTTTGATTTTTTCTCTTGCGTTTAGATGTATTATTTGTGATGATAGAGCTTTAATAAAGATAATAAGGGACAAGATTAAGTATCTTTGAGATGATGTTTTATTCTAACAAAAGATAAAGCTCTTTTATATTCTAGCTATTAAGACGGCGATATCAATTCATCTGACTAATGGATAAACTATGTGATGAAGGATGGATCAAGGACGTATCAGAACTTCTATTGAAGTCGCTATGTTAATCGGGCACATCTTTGAAACCAGCGTTAGCTGATGTAATGGCTGAGGTACCTGTTGATAGGTTCATTGTCCTGTTCACATAAGGTGGATCATCTGAGTGAGAGATTTTATTCAATAGTGTTTAGCCGAAATGCCGTAGTGTTCATACGTGTGTGCTATAATGTTTAACCGAATATCTTATTGTTGATATCTTAAGCAGTGTATTAATGTGGTTCACCACATTATTTTCAGTTTTGTCCTCACTATCTATAGCCATATCTATTGATTGATCAATGTTAAGCTGTAGAAATTTCTGCTGTATGTCAACCATTTCGTTATATTCAGTATTTACTTTTTGCTCATTTGAAAATACTAAGTCAAGTTTGATTTTCTTACTTAGGAATTCAAAATCTTTTCCATACCATAATTTATGATATGGTTGTACCTCTATATTATACTTATTTACAAATCGCCATATATTAGTAAGAATACAAGCAACACGAAACTGAATATTATAATATCTTATATCGGTTATTTGCTATGCTACACGATTATTATTAAATCGTTCAAATTTAGAGCCTAACATAGAGAACTGTGCTTCTATTACTGAACGAAATGATCCAAACTTGTTATTAAAGTATGTCTCATTGATTGTTAACTTTTGTCCTGGTTCTTTTCTTATGGGATGTAAAAAATTACGATCATAAAAACTATATCCAGCATCTGTCGCATTATCTTTAAACTTTTGTATAAATACGTTATATCCACCATCCATTCCTAAACAATCTGCCTCACTTATTTTTTTATATAGTTTCATATTAATAAACATAGTACCATCGTTTCTGATAGCACATTTCTCAGATACTGAAAC